CACTGTCAGAGGTGACATTTCTGACTGACAGTTCAGACCTGTGTATTGCCTTGAACATTCTCTGGGCATGTGCCCAGGTGCCTGGGATCCTGAAGAATTGGATCACGGCATTGTGAACCCTGTTGAATGCAGTCCTCTCTCTTGATCTGTCTCCTTCTGTCATGTACGCATGCTTTATATCATGAATAACATAATAAAACAGAATCTTGAAGGTGAACAGGAGATTCTTTTTCTTGCATATTAAGCACTTCATTGGTTGAACGTGCTGGATTTTGATTGAATACTCATACATAGCCAGCCTCTGCTTGCTGGACCCACTGTCCACTGTAGGCAAGGGAAGGCTAGCCACCCTTCGCTTACTTAAGAATATTCAGCTCTTTACCTGAAATGGTCTATTAAGCAGTAGGAACAGGATTTTCAGTAGCATGAAAGGCAAAGTGCAGAAGGAAGCAGTTATTCAATATTCGGTTAAGATCGCTGCTTAGTACTGTGGTTGGCATTAGTTGGGGAAGACAGGACCTTTTCGCTTCTCATTTTGGTCACAACTGCTTCTTATGTGTTTGTTCATTCTTCTCTGGCTTACCTGAGAAGTTCTAAAACACCCTTTTTCAGCCACTTTGCCGTCCATGCACATCTGAATGCCTGAGGAATCTACTACAGCAGTTAGTATCGGTCTAGTCACTGCCTTGCCAAGGTCAGAAGTTCTGGTGACAAAGCCACCGCTCTCTGTAGCTGCGTGCACCTCGTTTTAGTAAGACTTTTCTCTCTTCCCAGATAGACGTGTCAGACCAGGGGCCCTTATTCCCAGAACACTCTGGGAATTTCATCAGTTCTCTCTAATGAAAGCAGTTTCAGAACGTGCTAGCTAAGAGATCAGAAACGGGGAGACTCAGGGCATCTTAGAGATGTCTCATTTTGTGAGACGGAGCAGAACTGAAGGAAGCAAAGTATAAAAGCAGGGAGAAGCAGCCTGGGAGAGAAATAAAGGAGCGTAGTCGACAGAAGTGAGAGGGAGGGAAGGAGAGGAATATGAAATTTCCGGCCAATTCTCGTTTCAAAGAGAAGTAGCAAGGAACAAACATTCATTGACTTTGGGAAATATTGTGTCACTTTTGCTTTCAATCTATTTACCTGGCAAGCCGTGTTTGCTAAGATCGACATCCTCTGCATAGATCGCGGCGTTGGAGAACACGTTGCTTAGTTTAGGGTTCTTTTTGGCTGAGTTTAGGCAAACACAAGTTCAAGCTATTATTGGTTTTCCTTTCTGTGGGCGTCGGGGGCCTGGCTTACCTTCGAAGACTTCTCCCTGTAGCAGTTGTTAACGGCCCTCGATTCAGACATTCATTAAAAGTGTTTGTGCCAGCTCCAACTTGAAAGTTTGCCCTAAATGGCATCATGCCAGAAGCTGATTCTTGTTGCTTCAGAAGGAAGGGAATAAGTTCCCGTGCCAAATTAATGTCGTTGTCCTGGCCAGAGAGGGGACATTCCTTCCCAAGAATGTATGGCTTTGCCGAGGTCAAATGAAATGGTGCCCGCTTCTCTGCCCATGTGGAAAAGGAATGTGTCTCGGCTACCTTCCACACGGGGGAAACGGAGCCTCGGGCAGTAAGGCAGATGACCCGAATTGTTTGGAAAGACTGTGTACCTGCCAGAGAGAGCTGCATTCCTCAGCCTCGCGTGTGTTTAGACTCCTGAAGGTGTTCCTGTCCGCAGCCTTAGCACTATGCACTTGCAGTGATGGAAGGACTCAGGCCTGACGTGCTCACCACCTTCAGAGAGACGCCGGCGCTTCAGCCAGGGCAGACCCGATTTCTTTCCTAGACTCGATAGCTTTGCTTTATAAAATGAGCTCGGTGATATTTCAAGGGTTAATTATGAGCCTTTAGAATTCTTGGACTGGCTCTCTCTTTAAAAATATCGGGACGGGCAGGTAACATGGTGGTTAATGGCCCTGGACTCCTACATGGCTGACCACAATTTGAGTCCTGGACCTGGCACTTTGCTTTCTCACTTTCCTCTCTCTCTCTCTCACACACACACACACACACACACACACACTTTCTCCCTCTCTGGTCAAATTAAAATGAATAGATAAAAAGTTAAATAAAATAATTCTTTAAAAACAATTTTACAGAACTTAGCTTTATATCGCACCACTGTGTGTGTGTGTGTTGGGGGGAGGGTGGTATACGTGTATATTAAGAGCTCAAAGCATTTAACACATGCTCCCAAACACAAACATCTCTGAAAGTCCGCAGGAAGGCAGGCTTTATAAGGTCAATTGGAAGGCTACAGCGTCTACTCTAAGGCAAAATGGAGGCGGGCAGGTCACTTGCTCACTACCCCTGCTAAGCAGTAGGAGAGAAGGAACTAGAACTCCTGCTTTCCGAGCCCCTTCCTCAAACCTCTTTCTCTTTCAAATCCAGCGGGAAAGGTAGCAGAACCCAGTGACGCCCCTGTGCAAATGTCTGAGAAAGATTTTTGCTCTTTTCTTGTCAACTTGGAGAGAAAATGGGGAAGGAGCATGCCTCCCTTCCACTATTCCCTGGCTCCAGGTTTCTCTTTAAAAATGTAACCGGGGGAAAAAAAAATGCAATCAGACTGCACACTCCTCAGACTCCAAGGTTCATAGTTCTGGAACCCAATCTCCTTTACGCTCTGAGAGGCAAAGAGAGAGGTTAAAATTGGCAGGAGGTCTTGGAGGCGACAATAACCCCAAGAGTAAGAAAAGGCTAGGGAGAGGCAGGTACTAGCAGGGGAGAATGTACCCCACTTCTCCCTGACAGCTGAGAGGGCTCCCTGGGCTTCATCACCGTGTCTCCTCCCCTCCCTGAGGGTTGGGCTGCTCAGAGATCACAGGGCCTCTGAGCTCATTGCTGTATCTCCGACAGGCGTTTTTATTATCAAATGAGTGACGGGAGAGGGGGAGGTATATGAGGAACTGATGCAATCGTTGATCACATCATCAGTTTTTATGAAAAAGCTAGACTTTAATCTTTATAGGGAGAGAATTCAGCATTCATGGACTTGAGAACATGCAGCATTGAATTGCATGCGTGTGTTTGCGTGTGTGTATGTCTGTGTATGGTGTTTTCTTTCTCATCCATTTCAAAAAAGATTCCCTCCTTTTGGGGCTGGCTCTGTAGCTGAGTGGTTAAGAGAGCCAGATCCCACCTGACTGACTGGTTGGAATCCTGGCCCTGGTTGCTTGATAAACATGGTGGGGTGTGTGTGTGTGTGTGCCCCGAGTCGCAATATGATGGGAAAATGGAGGAGAAGGGATTATGGCATGACCACACACCATGGGAAGTGCTTTCTCTTTATCTCTCTTTCTCTGTCTCTCTGTTTGTTTCTCTTTAGCAAGTATATGCATCCTCTGTGATTAAAAAAAAGTAAAATTTTTTTTGTTAAACATCAAAGTAATGTGGGGGTCATTGCAAATGATTTGGGAAATTCAGAGACGAGACCAGAAGACACTAAAATCCATCTATAATCTTGGTTTTACTTTCTTCCTTCTGTATGTTTCTATGATTCTCTAATTTTATCAACATTTTAGTGAAGAGCCCTCAGCCCATCCTCTGTTCTTTTATGGAGTGTCAAGAGGGCAGGGTCCTGATCACTTCTGTGGCCCCGATGTCCTGAACAGGGCCCAGTGCGGGCTGATATGTCACATAGGTTGTTCACATAAATGAACAAGCAACTCTAAAAATGTACTCTGAATTGAAATAGGGTGTGAAGCAGTGGAGAAACGTGGAGATAGAATTGCTTGGGTCTGGTAGACTTGGATCCAAGTTGCTATTGCAAATCTGCTGTATCTTCTTGGATAAGTCACTTCACCTCTCTGTGCCTGAGTTTCTTCTGCAGTAAAAGAAATATTGTAGCTCACATTTACTGAGTGCTCACTGTGTGTAGTATGCAAATGCTACATGTGCATTTTTTCACTGTAACTCTATGGGATAGGTCCCTACTCTCTCCATGTAAGGCACAAGGAAACAGGCATGGAGAGGTTAAGCAATTTGCCCAAAGTCACACAACTGTTAAGTGGAGATCTGGGCTTGAACTCAGGCACTCGGACCCTTTAAATTCTCCAGTGGAATGCCTACACTGTGGGATTCGATGACTTTGAAGGGCTCTCCCAGCCCCCTGTTGAGTGAGAGGGGAGTGGTATGGGGAAGGGGTTGTGATGATCATGTTATTAGCCAAGTTCAAGAAAGTCAATTATGGAACAAGGTCTAGGTGATTATTACACAGAGACCAGAGAGCAAAGGTCTGAACTAGAAGACTTCCTCCCAGTGTGCGGAGTCTATACAGGCAGGGCGTAATGAAAGAACATGGGTTGTGTGCGGTTCAATCAGTGCACCAGCGGAGGCTGGGTTACAGGCTCCCTTTCTGTGTCCACGGCCTCATCTTACAGCCGCCCACAGGCCACGAGGGTCAGGCCGGGAAGTGCAGAAGTAAATCTGATCATTCCTCCTGTGAGCTGTGGCTGATGCATTTAACTGGGGGAGAGGACGGAATCCCCTTTGATGATTAGCTAGGACTTCAGTTAGCAAACACTGTCCCTTTCCTCCCCCTCTGGCTGAAACCTTCTGTTTTGCCTCCTGTCCCTGGTAACCGAGTCTCCTTCTCGTTGGGGAGGAGTGGGCTTCAGTAAACAGATCTATTTGTGTGACTCCTATTACTCATTTGAGGCAATGTCACTCCTTTTTCCACTGTGGTCTGAGTGTCTGAGTCAGAGAGAGCCTACAACAGGCTTCTTTGAATTGATGGCTCACTCCCAGCCACTCCTGACTGCCTGCCAACCTAGCAGGGCGTAGCTTACCAACAACTTTTTTTTTTTTTTTTTTAAGTCAGACTGATTCATAGAAACTCCTTTAAAACACAGGGAAAAGAAACCGCCCATCACACACCCCAGCACACCAGCGGAGGAAACTTATAACCTCAGGAGGCAGGTCCCTCCCCACTGCTGTCACACACCTCCTGAGGAACGGAGCTGGGCAGCCACTAGCTCCGGCCACTGCCACTCCGGGTGCCTCTGCCGCTGGGACCTTTGAGGTAGGACAGCTCCAACGCGGTACTGGGCAAACGGCAAACTTTCCTTCCTTCCTGTTGCTCTCTTTCTGAGCTCATCTGTGCCCTGGTTTTGCTTTATTCCTTTGCGACTTTCTATGATTTTTCTAATCCTTGAAGTTTTTAGCTAAAAGTGGATATGGAGACAACTTTTTGCATGAAGTCAAAATGCATTAGGAAAATGGATCCTGAAGGGAGTTAGGGAACTCAGCGGTGTGTGTGTGGGGGTGAGGGTTGAAATCATTCTTGCCTAACCGGGTTCTCACCGTGAGGATGTGGAAGGAGCAAGGACTTTGGAACAACCTGACGAAGGAGATTCTCGATGGAGGAAACGCTGCATACCTTCCAAATGACATGCGTGGGGCCTTGTCAGATGCTGTTTTAGCTCCTCCGTTTGGATTCAAATGGCTTCAAGACTTGTTTTGTTTCTTGGCTTGTTGGTTATTGGCTGCTCTTTTCGTTGGGTTATGGTAGATAGATAGTTGGCCCGGAGTTTATTTAGATTTTTGTTGTTTTATTGTCCTTTTAGCTGTCTGTTTACTTCTGTTGAAATAATTTTTATTTATTTATTTATTTTTTGCTTATAGGATGTGAAGTGCAGGGGGATTGGTCTGTTTAAAGAAAACCGTTAGAGAAAGAGAGAGGCAGATGGTCTTTCAAATAAAACGTGGGAGGGGTTCATTTGGTGGAAGCAGGAGGCTGATGTGTATTCCAGACTCTTTCTCCTCCTGGCCAGATGTGGAGGTTGGGGAGAGGGTGGGGCAGGGAGACTTCTGTTCCTGTAGAAACCCTTCGAATGGCTGTGTGCATCCGCCTGAGAAAACAGCTGCTAAGTCAAAAGACGGTGTATCAGGAATGGTGAAAGGATTTTTTTTTTTTTTAATTGAGCAAAATGTTCTAAACTGAAGGCAGTGATTTTGGGGAATGGTTACGTTTTCACTCTTTTCCAAAATGTGACTGTGAGAACATTCTTGCCAATAGTAAAGTGAATCTGAAGAAATGAAAAAGGATTTTTTTTTTAATTTGCTTTTGTTTTTATAGGTTAGCATGTTGGTTGAGCATCCACTGAGGTGTGGCCCATTTCAACATAGATACTGGTATTTTTTTTTTCCCCCATGTAAACAAGACCAGAATGACAGGATTCAGCTTGTCTGACAGAGTTAGACTTTTCCTTCAGCAACTCAGTCCGTTGGAAGAGAAGAGTTTCGTGTAATTAGTTGGTGTGGTTGAGAAGGCTAGCGCCTTGTAAAACTTCCCTGGGGGCATGATTAAGTAAGTGCCAGGCAACTTTTCAAGATGCAGGGAACTCCTACATTTGCTCCAAATGTTTATTATTTCCAGATCCCATGGCTGTAGATGAGGGAGGCCATTGCTACATTGATAGGGATGGCTTCCTAAGAAGATAATATAAATCTTTTCTGAGTCCTATGCAGGTTAGAACTTAATAAGCAGCGTCTAACCAGTTGGCAAGTAGGACATGTCAGTTCTGGGGATACGAGCCATGGTGGATTGTAGTATTTGTGGGTCGTCTGACATTAGACCACTTTATAAACTCGCTTTATGTGTCCTTTAGAAATGGAACATCGGCTGCCTGTTATTCCCTGGCAATTTTAAGAATGCTTTTCTGATTCCCACTCTCTGTTCTTCCTCTAAGAAGTAGCAGGAGAGCCCCTTAGCTGTGGGAGTTAGAGTGGGTTTCAGCTGTTTGTCTTTGACCATCCTGAAATGGGAGGTTTATGTCCTTCCCCGCCACACACACACACACACACACACACACACACACACACACTGCCTTCCACCTTCAGAAGGATCCAATTCACCCAGACTCTGAGGAATGGACGGGGGTGGAGGAGGGCTGCAGGACATCCGGTCTGACACTCCAGTCGAAGTCCCCCCCCCCAGATTTTGCATTGTTTGGGGGGTACTAAACTATCCTGGGAGTTGACGAAAGGCCATGGAGGACTAACCCAGAGCAGATCACATCCTCAGAACTTGGCTGTTTCCCAGGAGTACCGGGCAGACTCAGAGAGGAAAGGCTCCCTCTTGGATGTGCGGAAAGGGCTTGCTGTGGTTTGCTCAGTCCTTCCTTCTTCTCTCTGGAGACCAGTGTAGGCCCACCTAGTTTTTAGAGCAGTGAATGGGCTTTGTGGAGACCACCCTGGGAACACAGACCCTCTTGACTTTTCTAGGTGGTTCTGGGGATTTCTGGTAGTGCTAAACCCATCACAAAAGCCCTGGAGAGAGCCCTCAGAGACTGAAGGGGGCTTAGCGATGAGGCAAAACTGCTTTACTCCTGACTCTCTGAACCTGGTGGGCATAGATGGCTGCAAAGTGGCCACAGCAAGGGCACAAGGCAGGCCTGGCCTCTGTGGTGCAGTCTGTGGGATGCTGGACTATGGAGCTGGAAGCCATAGGCTGACTGGTTTGAGTCCCGGGCCTGGTTGGGCATGTGTGTGTGAGTCCAGAATTCTGGCAGGCTGGAGGACTGGAAAAAGGGGAACATGGCGTGACCAAGCCCTGTAGAGGGTGATTCACTTCCCTTTCTCTTTCTTTTGTGTACATGTGTGTTCTATGATGAATTGAAAAAAAAGAAAAAAAAAAGAAAGAAAAGAAAAAGGCACAAGACAAATTGTAATAGTACATTCTGTCCTTCATTTTCTTCATGAAGTTCTACAGTTGCGAGGGATCTTAGAGACAAACTCATTCATTCTCCTATCATGTGCAGGAACCTAATTTTTACAGTAATACCATCTCAGACAGATGGCCATCTTAGGGACGCCTGGGACCCGAGAGTGGTACCTCCATGCTCGCCCTCATTTGCTGGGCAGATCCAATTATTAGAGTTCCTTAAATTGAGCAAAATCAGATTCCCTGTAATTTTCTAGTTCGAGGGCCTTAAAAACGGCTCAGAAAATACGTGTCTGGTTTTGTTGTTGCCCCACCCAGTGCTCCTTATCCTAAACACTTAACCCTTATTTTCTATGTAATGAATACAATCTGATGCATCTCTGTTGCATCTCCCGCCCCCCCTCCCCCCGTATGACTCAGAAAGAGCAGAGGGCATTTCTGGAGTTTTGAAGCTATGCAACACAGTTAACCCTACCTTCGTGATTTGATTCTGAGGGATTTCATCTTCTAAACATGTGAATATGAATTTTTTCTTTAACACATGCATATCCACAGCTGCCTAAAATCCATGCTCAGAGATACTAGAACTCTCAGACGTACATACTCAGAGGAACACACCCAGTGTTGCCACTACAGGGTCATGGTTGAATCGATCCAGTACCGGAAGCACAGGCTTCTAACTTGGCCTTCTGGGACTGTTCTATGACTTCGTCCATATACTTCATGTTGCCACACCTGAACACGGTCACCACCTGCCATGGGAACTACAGGTCCAGGCTGCCAGTCACATGCAGCCTCCATCTCATTGCTGGCCACACTCGGTACTGGTCCTTTGAGAAGAGCCAGGGTAGAACTGGAATTTTTGACTGCTAGCCTCCCTTTTCCAATGCACTTCCCTGTTCTACCCAGATGACCCCAAATATCTGGACTGTGCCTGCTTTAAGTAACCCAGGAAGACCAGATGTGGATCCTGGTAGGGGTTTACTTGGATGTCCAACACCCTAGCCTCAACACTCTTCTTAACACTTCAGTCCCTGGCACCCTCAATTTAACTGGGAGATGCACTGACATTAAAGCATAAAGATAAAACTACAGGGGCCAGCAGATGGCAAAATGGTTATGTCGCTGGACTCCTAGGCAGTCTACTGTGGTTCTAGTCCTGGACTTACCTCTACTTAAACTCATGCCAGGCATGTGTGCGTGTGTGCCCAAGATCTTGAGAGGAGAATGGAGGAGAAAGGATTGGAGTGTGGCCATCCCCCCTGGGGGATGGTTTCTCACTTTCTGTCTCTCTGGCTTTTTGGTGAGTGCATATGTCCTATAGCAAAAATCTCTCTTAAAAAAAAAAAGAAAAAACTAAAAACACCTGTGGAGATTGTTGCTTTCCTCTATCTTCCTTCTAAAGATGGTACTTGGGTCAACTTTTCTTTTCTCTCTTGGAGATGGCGCTTCCCTAAAGCTACTCCTCTGCTGTGGGTACTCCTGGCCTTATATGGCTACAGCAGTTTTTGTGTTTCCTGAGCCTGTTTCATGAATTATTTTGCAGACACGGTAGTGAAAATAGAGAATCCTATGGCATAGATCAACGCCGTGGCAAGAATCCTAGGGTAGATGTGAGGTGGCTGGTGGACAGACAGCGTGGCCGTGCCCCAACCCTCCTGTGACCTTAGGCAAGTCATCTCTTTGCTTGAGGCAGTTGAGCTTGGTAGTCCCTTCATCTCTGTGGCTCTGAAATTCTTAGTTTATTATTTATTTTTTTTGGCGAGGTTTTTGCTATAGGGCGCATGTGCTCTCCAGAAAGACAGAGAGACAGAGAGACAGAAAGCGAGACATCACCCCCCAGGGGGGATGGCCACGCTGCAATCCCTTCTCTTCCATTCTCCTCTTGGGATCTTGGGGACGCACGCACATGCGCCCAGCGTGAGTTTAAGCCACCGGGTCTGGGACTCAAACCATGGTTGACTACATGGGAGTCCAACGACATAGCCACTACACCAACTGCTGGTCCTGTGGCTCTGAAATGCTAATATCCTACCAACCCTGTTTTGAAAAAAATTCCTTGGACTCACAGGACAGCTAATTAATCCATGAAAATCGGAAGAAAAGTGAAGCACGTTGCATTGACACGGGCTTTCCTGAGGACTCTCTGTTCTCAGGTGCCTTGCAGACCCGGCGGTCGCTCAGAGACTCCTCAGGGCTTCCCACCAGGCAGCAGTGTGCAGTCTCCTGGCACTTGGAAGAGAAGGAAGAGGTGCGATTAGTTAGACTTACAGCGTGCCAGCTCAGATGAGGAGGGGCAGGCTATCTAAGCCGCTGAGACGTTGACATCAGCAGGCATTCACCAGGAACAAAATCGG